AAGAAGCCAGTAATTGATTTCGTTTTATTCAAGTATGTCGTTACCATTGTTTCGGTAATGACTAAGAAGATTGTTGTTATCCCGACCCTAGTGTTCAGGTCACATTGAGTCCGACTACGATGAGTAGGTTACGTGGTTTAGAGAACCAAGTTTGATGTAGCGTCCGACTTTAACCAAACAACTGAAATCAAAGCGACGAATAGAAGTATCGTGCTCGTTGTTAAAAAAAGAGTTGGTAGCCAAAATTGCCTAATGATAAAGTGTGATTATATCACATTAGAACATGAAGGAAGGCATAGTCTGTTTTAGAGTTTAACTCTGAGAGACCTAAGTCTAAGTGTTGGTACGTACGATGATAGGTCTATCCATAGTAGTAATAAAAGAAATCATCTCAAGTTCGTATACAGTAAGGATCGAGATTGTGACTTAAAGGTCATAGTTTGGAGTCTAACCTGAGGTAGAGAGCAGGTGTACGATTAAGTACTGCTTACAGTCAATGAGTTTAAGAGATAGACTTGAAGGAATGTAGAAGTTATAATTATTACCTAGGATGAAGAGATGACGTATGGAGTCATTATACAACCCTGTTTCGTTGATGATTCCGGGACGTAATCATCCTAAGGGGGAGATAATTGTAACGCCCGCAAATCGAGGCTAGTCAATTTAGAGGCAATAGGAGTCGAAAACGACTTTTCGACAAAAGATTATTTAGAATAAATAATCTTAACCAAGTCATAGTATATGTCACGAGGTTTCCGTACATGTAAAGAACGCCGAAATCCGAGTTATAACGAAGAAGTTATGACCCGTCGAAGTTTCGCGACAGAACCGGCACAACACCGGGAAGCGTAAATAGTGAATTTACGATAGAGCGATATTTAGCCTTAGCGATCTAAATAAAAGTCGTAGAATATGTTAAACTAAGAACATCGATAAAAAGAACTCCCAAATCTGACTTCGTATGAAGAAGTTATGATATTTCGAAGTTTCGAGTTAGCAGTGTACAACCCGAAATTCGAATATTAGATGGAGCGGTTTTTAGCCAACATGACCTGAAAGAGAATCGAAGATCTCGTTAAAAGTAGCGTAACGAGAAAAAGATGGGCGAAAACGGATGTCGGATGAAGAAGTTATGAGGATTTAACGGATCAATCCTATCCCGGCCCGTTAATAATATAAAATTTAAAATCGAGCCAAAATTAGCCGACGAATTCTAAACGAAAGTTGTATAGTACGTTCCCACCTTCGCGTGGATATAAAGAACGTCGAAAATGGAGCTCGTATGCGAAAGTTACGAATTTTTAAAGTTTGTAGTGAATTTTGCGAAGTCTGATGCAAAACTGATGACGTGGCATGATCTAGGCCGTCCCTTGTTGCCCACGACTTGCTTCGGATGGATGACAGCTGGCTCGCTATGCAGCGCGTACAAGAAGAGAACGCCCCACGTTCGGAATCACTTGGCTTCGGAAGATCCACGTCGCCTCGCATCTACGCCCCGCGTCCGAGGCCGGGTACGCCCAACGTACTTCGGTTCTTATCTCTTCCGAGGAAATGTGAGACAGCTGGGTCCAGATGGCGCCTTATCCGAAGAATGCCCAGCGTAGCCAAGGACTACGCCCAGCGTAATCCGAGGCCTCGCTGGGTATAAAAAGGGGCAAGGGTCTCCGGGTTTTTCACACTTTTTCACACCATTTCCTTTCTCTCTCTAAAATACTTTCTCTCTCTAGCTCCTAAACCACCCCTAAGCCCTAGATAAAATCCCTAGCTCCCGAGGGAAGCCCCGAGGCTCCTGGGGTCCCGAGAAAAAGGAGTTTTTCGGTTTCGAAATGCTGCTCTAGTTAAGTTCCGGTTTTCGATAAAATTCGCTGTAAGTATGCTACGTTTACGCAACTTTTAATATAGCTTTCAAATAATTATAGGAATGTTATTAGGTCCTTAAAATAATTATTTGGGCTATTATTATGAGTTATATTATGCATTATTAACGCTTAATAATAGTCAGACTAATTAATTTGTCGCGGTTATCGTTAGACTAAACCCTAGTGGTATTGGTACTAGGTTTTATCGAAGGAATATCGTTTTGAGAGTATCAAAGTGCTGTCCGAGTGCTGAGTCACCACCTACTCAGGTGAGTGCATGGTCCCTTTCATCTTACACATAGATATGAAGTATTTTATTATAAATTACGTGCTATGTGTGCATATTGTCTGAATACTTGTTGTCTATGCTGGTGAAAGATTTTTTTATACATGTTTTAAATGATGTAAACTGTATAAAATATTTTATATCTACAAAATATGTTGGGTAAAACATAGGTAGATGAATGATGAGGGATAAAAGCTTAAATAGAGGAACATTAGTAGCATGGACCTAGTGCCCTATAGGTATACATTGGCAGCAGTGGACCTAGTACCCTATAGATGAGCACTGACAGTTGCGCCACAACCCGTAGATGTTTTAGATCTACGGTAAACGTCCTAGCAGCTGCGCTCTATGGACAGTATCGGCAACTGCGCCTAATAGGGAGCCTTATGACCATGACAGTAGCGTTTAAAGGTCAATATCGGCAGAAGCGCCTCATATGAAATGTCCCAATTCTGGCAGTTGCGCCTAAGTGACAAGATTAGCAGCTGCGCTTAACCAATGTGTCATTGGCAACAATGGACTTCATGTTGTTTCCTTAGGATGATCCTTAGGAATGAATGAATGAGAAATAGCTGATTCTTATGGTGGATCCTTAAGAATAGAGAAGATAATGGGGATGGGTAATTGGGTTGATTGTTTGATTGTTTAAACATAATAATTATATTATTGTGGGTTGAAAACCCTATGTACTCACCAGGTTTCCCAACCTGACCCACTCAGTTTATTTATATCACAGGTGTTGATATGAAGTGACATTACACTGAGAGATTTAAAGAGACGTAGATCACTAGTGTAAATAATTGTAAGTTCTGTTTATGCTTATGTTTCTGTATTAACGATGACATCCCAAACGTTTTAAAATGAAATAAATACGTTTCTTCGAAAATGTTTTAATGACGTATTTACCATGTTTTTCTGGGAACAAATTCCGCAACATTTTTATAAAATGAATTACTCTGATTTTTATAAAGCATAAACAAAATCGGTCTTTTCTTGCCGTGATTTTGGGGATGTCACACCAACCGCATTGAGGAGCTTTAAAAAGGACATATAGTATATTCCAAGTAAGGGTCGATAAAATATTACATTATGTTTGCATTAACACACCATATTCTTTTCAATAACATTTCATTCACAGCATGCAATTCATAAATATTTCATAAGATACTTTACAAATTAGACATATCATTTTATTCATGCACTAGAAAAAAAACCTAATAGCAATCTATTTGGAGACGCAAGCAATTAGTTAAATAGATTGACAAGAACCCTAATTAATCTGAAATCCAAGATCCTAGACTATCATTTATTTATGCTTTAGTTTTTTAGGTTTGAACAACAACAATATTTAACCTTGACATATAATTTATTTATATATATAAAATTAATTTCTTTTAATAAAATATGTAAAAAGAATTAATCGTGGACTAGGATTGCCACATGGACGCTCATCCAAAATTTGTGAAACATGCAATAATAATGATATATTTTAAATAATATAAATCAATTATATATGTATTTAGAATTCAATATTCTGCTCTATCTCCTTCAATTGTTGAAGCTTTTGTTTTTTAGTGGGTTTTGTTTCTGTTTTTTCCGATTAAAAAACAGTTCATTAAAGCAAACACCAAGCAGCTGCATCACCACGTTGCTAACAAAACAACAAAACAGGCTATACGTTCATGACGATTGCATTCGAAACTCAAAAGATTTCTAGTCTCAACACCCCACTCAGGGGCGGAACACAAACACTACAAGTTAGGGGCTGAAACCAAATTTTATAAACATGTTTTTTTTCATACTTATAATCATAATTAATTAGTTAATATTTTTTGTAAAGATTATACATTATAATTTTGAATTTCACAGTATATATGTATATACATTTACATATAAACCTCTGCAGTTGAATCAATATAAATTCTATTGATATTTATAGAAAATTAAAAGCTAAAATATTGCTTAATAAATCATAATATTTATTTTCTTTCTATCCAATGTTCTCGTACTTTTGCTACAGAAACTTACAGCTACCTTTAGAGTAGACTACTTTTAGTCTATGCCTTCCCTCTTTCTTTATCGGTAGCAACACCAAATGAGTTATAGCATATCAATTTATGAAAGCATGAGAGAGGGCATACTTGACTCTAACAGAGATGAGAAATAGAGAAAGAGCACCAAGGCAACACAGAACAGTGCATGGATCCAAGGAGGGGAGAGACAGTAAGAAATTTTGTGAGAGAAGAGAAGGGCAAGAAGTCCGATAGAGTTATGTTTTCTGGCGGTGAGTTGCATTTTTGCGGTCTATGAAATAAGTACAAGCTTAACTCCGGTGAGTTGCAAACCTTTCCGGTGACGGTGATATCTTTCAAGAGTGTTGTGCCGCAATTTTTGATGCAATTTTGACAACGCAGACGACAAATGTTTAGGGTTTTATTTGTTCTTTAAAATTGATTGTAAATTAGATCGGCTTTTTCGTCATTTTATAGATTTAATTAGTGATATAGTAAATAGTTAGTTTCCTTTTGAAATAAGATTAGTTTAAATGATTTTTCAAAACGGTTCTGAGAAAACGGTACTTTGATTACTTGTAAAGTTGATTAATGATTTTTCATAACTAAATCATATATATGTTGTTACTATTAAGCCAAAAAACCAGGGGGGCCATGGCCTCCCCTGGCCCCTTATACGGTCCGCCACTGACCCCACTAATCACTCATCACTCACCTGCTTCGACTTCATTTCTTAGCGAACACGTTTCCTCTCAAATATCTACAACATAAATCCACGCCATATATGTCATATTAACTTCACTTATCTTCTGCGAACATCGTCGTCTCTCAGGAGTTCAGTCCATGAGGAAAAACAGGAAACAGAGCATTGTGAAAGATGGGTACGAACCCTCTGCAGACGAAGACGAAGATAGTTATGAGAAATCGGACACCGAAAGAGCGGTTCCGGTGGAGATTTTTCGTCGGAGAAACAGGGGAAAACGCCGATTGAAGAAAAATGGTTGTAACTCACAGGATCCGTTGGTTGTATGTGGTGGCGATATCATGTTGATGATATTGAGCTTTCTTGACGCACACAGTGTGGCTTCATCACTTGTTGTTTCTCGTAGATGGCGTAGAGTTGCTTCCAGTGATACCATTTGGTCTGAAAAGGTCGACACACTTGCTCCAACTTACTTCTGCTTTCTTCTTTTTTGTTTCTTAAAATACTGAACATATGATATGTTTAGTGTGTTTATTGATATTGTGGTAATCATTAAGATTTTCTTTTTCGGAAATGTTGTTGATGCAAATAATGTTTGTAGTACTTGGTATAATTAAGATTCTTGTGTGTATCTTTCTCTTGTTGGTAATTACTAATTAGTAGCTTGTTTGTGGTTAGTAAGTTATGAAGACTGAAGAGCAAAGTAATGGCAAGTTTATCACAAAACTATGGAGGACATGATTGTTACATGGATAAAGATGACCCTTTTGCGCTGTTTTGATTTAAAGATCATTGGTTTTGAATCTTTTTATCATTGGCATGCATATTGGATCTGATCATGTAACTTGTTTGAATCATGTCACAGAATAGTCATCATCGGTTTACGTAAAAGACCTAATTACCCTCTACCTTGCTTATAGATTAAAGAGCTATGGGCTGATAAAGCTCATCTACCTCGTTTTGCCCTAGTTGAGGGGTTGTCAAAGTTGTCTGCTTACACCTTATCCATTCACGATGGCAAACGGGTAAGACTCTTTAATAGTATAAGCAAGTGTGGTCTCAGGTTAAAGTCTGGGTATGACATATAATACCCTTTTATTTTATTTTATTTTTAAATATTATATTAACAACATTTGTTCTCTCTCTTGGGTTATGTTCTTTGTTAGAGTCGGATCGTGAAGGAAGATCTTTGGGATCATGCTTGGGAGTTTCACTTTAAAGAGGCACGATTCTTTTTAAATTGTGTGTTGCATTATTAAAAGGTTAAATGCAAGAAATAACAACATATTTTCATTTATTTGTTCACTATAGATTTTCTTTCTTTTCTTAGAGGTGTAATACTAGTATGTCGAAATATCTACACAATAATACCATTCTATTTCTAATTTCTTTTTTTATTAAGACATTGTACTTTAAACGATCTATTCAATTATAGCAATGAAAATTGATTTGTGAATTATAATTGGATATTGTTATACATTGCTATATTTTTCAAAGTACAATGCTATAACAAAAAGAAATGCAAGTAGAATGCTATAATAAGAGCTAAAAGCAAGAAATTGCATCTAACTTCCTTTTCCTACGTTCATTTCTTTCTATTGTAATTTCGTTTTTTCTTATTAAGTCGTTGTACATTGAAAAGTCTACCAACTTATATCATTATACCTCCAAATCTTTTTTCTTATTAAGACTTGTATTATTTTGAAAAATCTACCTATATATATCGACGACATAGTCCACTGATATTGTTATAATTTGCTAAGATTTCTCAAAGTACATGAAGAAATTAAAGTAGGTGGTATAATAAACAAATAGACAAAAGTAGTTTATAATTTTTTGCATTTAATCCTTATTATGTAATCATGCACTATCTCGTTCATGGGATTTTGATAGCTTAGAGCATCTCTTTGTGAAGACTTATGGTATTTGCCAACTAGACTTTTCACTAACAAACTGATTAAAAAAAAACATTAAAAAACCTTTTACATCAATGTATATAAAAAGTGTTTTTTCTAGGAGGTCATAATTCTTGAAATAACCTATTCAAAATGTAAAAATCTTTTCAAAAGCTTGCATTGGACATGCTCATACAGGCGTCGTTGAATCTTATTATCACCCCAAGATTTCTTTCAATTTCAGAAACTCATAAGTTTTATATTTACATTAATTGCATTCAGGGTGCACCAGAATACTGGCGTGATTTGGATCCATACTGGAGAGGAACAGGGCAACCAATGCATCGCTACTTCCATGAAGATGGAAGCCAAACTGCTGATGTTGATGATAAGGCATGGGGAGGCCATGAATGCTGTTACTCCATTGTTACAAGCTTCTTAGCAGATGGAAGAATGCGGGAACATTATGTAAGAATCAATAGTTGGGCACAATTGTCTATTTCAAGGAGGCATGATTGGGGTTGGGAAATGTCAAATCTTTTCTGTTTCTACTCGAGTGTTCCCGATGCTTATAAGCCAGGTGGCACTGGTCCCTATCTTCCTGTTCATTAATTAATTTCTGTTTCTTGTTTTGTTTACCAAGTTTGTTTGGTGACAGTTTTTTAAGTATTTTAGACTAGATTTGCTAGTGTTTGCTATATGACTATACGTGCCTATTTGGTCTGTGGAAATTGCAATGATTTTTTTGGAAGGTTCCAAGTTGAAAGTTACATATTTACCCATTACCGTTGATCTAGTAGATGTATTTCTTTATTGACGACTGTTTTAGGCATTTGCACTACATTGGCATTACCCGCGATGTCTTTAGCGGCGACGTAGGGCAATAGCAGCGATATGTACTTGATGTGTTACATGTCGCTACTAAAACCATCGCCGATAATACTAACTACCAGCGATCCGTATCAAATTACCCTCATCCGTTTGATTTGTTTCCAATCGAAGGGTTGTAGAGGAAAGCGAAAACGCGTTGACTTTTCCCTCCAACGTGTCGCCGCTAATACCTTTGTGTTGCTGCTGATGCCCCTTACAGATAACCCCTTCTAGCTTCCTTTTCTGTGACATTTTTCTGTTCTCTCGTTTCTGGTCATGTTTCTCACTTCCATCACTTGGACGTGTCGACTAGGTGGAAGACGAACGTAAAAACTGGTGCTAGCCCCTCATGCCGCCACAAGACCGCCACACCTTCCCCCAACACCTCCAAAACTGGAAACCTTGAGCTCAATTCCAAATTGCCCACATTCAAGGTGGAATTCCTCCTATTTTCTATTATTTTTCTGTTTTGGTCTACATTTGGATGATAAATTGTTAGTAATTTTCAATTTTGTTGAGTGATTATCTTTGCATTTTGAGATATGAAGTGTTTATGTATTTTGTTGGATTGTATATGCTTTTTCAGATTTGTGGAAAGTGTTGATGCATTTTGTGTATGTTTTTATAATTTATGTTTATACCACATTGGCTTAAAAAATGAAAATAGGGCATAAAATTGAAATTGGATGTATATATACATTTTTTTGATTATGTATTTAGATGTATAAATTTGTGTACATTTGACTTAATTGTATGAAATTGGAATATGCAAATTGGATGTATACATTTGGCTTAATTAATTGTATGAAATTTGAATATGCAATTTGGATGTATACATTTGGATTAATTAGGTTATTAATAGCAACTTACTTCTAGTAATGTATTGTATATAGTTTCAAAGTGCTTAATTTTGTTAGTGACTTAATGTTGGTCATTACAACTTTAGCTTTAATTAGGTTAATAATAACAAAAAACAAAATTTTAAATTAATTAGAAAATCAAATTAATTTACCTTTAGAATCAAATTAAGTTACATTTATAAAATCAAATTAAACTAATTATAAAACCAAATTAATAGCAACATACTTTTAGTGACTTAATGTTGGTCACTACAACTTTAGCTTAATTAGGTTATTAATAGCAACGTACTTCTAGTAATTTTAATTTAATTATAGAATAAATTTAAATTAATTTTAAAAATATCAATAAAAAATAATAAATTAATTGTTAAATCAAATTAAATTAGCTTTAAAATCAAGTTCATGTTAATATTAAAATAAAATAAATTAGTTTAAAAAATCAAACTAATAACAAAAAAAGAAAATATTAAATTAATTAGAAAATCAAATTAATTTATGTTTAGAATCAAATTAAGTTACCTTTATAAAATCAAATTAAATTAATTATAAAAATCAAATTAATAGAAACATACTTTTAGTGACTTAATGTTGGTCATTACAACTTTAGCTTAATTAGGCTATTAATAGAAACATACTTCTAATAATTTTAATTTAATTATAGAATAAAATTAAATTAATTTAAAAAAAATCAATAAAAAATAATAAATTAATTGTAATTAAATTAAATTAGTTTTAGTTAATATTAATATTAAAATAAAATAAAGTCAGTTAAAAAAATTAAACTAATAACAAAAAAGAAAATATTAAATAAATTAGAAAAATCAAATTAATTTACCATCGACTCATTTGCAGCGACACGTCGCCGTTAAAAGTATTAGCGGTGACAACCCATACCTTTAGCAGTGATACGCGTCGCCGCTGTTGCCCACTATTCTTGTAGTGTTGTGATGTATTTGTTGATCTTTATTGATGGGTGTTTAGGTATTTAAGTAACATAAATATTTTACTTGAACTATGTGCATGATAGATGTTGCAATAATAATAATATGAAAGTATAATGTTATAATAACAAGAACTTAAATTACAGTGCTAGCTCTTGCAATTCGCGATATGTTTAATTTCAAAATTAAATAATGCTTATTGAAATGTTCAAATATAAACATTCTAAATAGAAGATAATGTCTATGTTCTCCTTTATTTTGTAGTTACTTTTTATTTAGGTACCAAACGAATATCTATACGTTGCATTAGAATAAAGTTATATAGTTATAT